TTATTAGTTTACCATGGCCTCATATAAAGGCCATCTCAATATTGCGCAGTATCTAGTTAATGAATGTCACGTTGATCCAGACATAGCAGATAGCTCTGGTAACACGGGATTGCTTTACTCAGCACTGGGTGGTCACGTTGACCTCGTGATTATGTTTTTAAAGAAGAAGTGTAACGTGTCTCAGGTCAATAGAGAAGGATCGACTTTATCATTATTAGCATGTAAGAGTGGAGAGGTAGCATTAGTTGATCAGCTTAAGCAGTTTGGTATTTTCTCAGAAGATGACATAGATTTTAAGGGATGTGGAATAGTACATTATTGTGCTATGAGTGATAGTGTAGAGCTTCTAGAATATCTTTGCAATAATCATAATATTGGACATTTTCAAAACAGGGATCGTTTTGGTGCAACGCCACTTCATATAGCATGCCAGTATGCTTCCTCAGGTTTAATTGTGAAAATCATTATTATTTTTGGTGGATATAAAGTCTTGCTAGAAGCAGATTATAGTGGTCGCTCTTGTCTTCATTACTTATGCAGTGGATTGGTTGATAAATACTGTAATACAGAAGTGTACAATAAGCTCACTGCACCATGTGATATACCTTTACTTATGCAAGTTATTTCCTTTAATACTGGCATGAAAAAGTGGGGAAAATATGTATCCCTAAATACAAACGTTACCAAGCAGCATAAAAGAGTGAACCTTTTATCTACAATCCTCAAGAAGACAAGCGTTATTAATAATTTCAATATAAATTCTATTACTGCTACTGGTCAATCATTGGTTCATTTAGCATGTACTAGTGGTAGTATTTTATTAGTGAAGGTATTAGAGGAGTATGGTATTAATACAAGTTCATTAGATTATGAGGGTCGGTCTGCAGTACATTATGCTGCTTTATCAGGTTCACCTACTCTACTCAGTTACACTGTATCTGAGTATAGCTTGAATGCCAGTCAACAAGACTACAAAGGTGTAGTACCATTAGCATTAGCTTGTATGTCAGGTAGTATCAATGCAGTAGAATATATTATGAATACTACTGACATTGATATTAATATAAAGTGTAATGAGGGTAGAACACCTCTTCATTATTCATGTCATCATGGTAATGTTACTCTCAGTCAATATCTCATTGAAGTACAAGAGTGTGTTTATAACACAAAAGATAATATTAAATGGAATGCATTGACTCATAGTGCTATGAGTGGTAACAAGAAGCTAGTCCAATATCTCATAAATCATCGATTGTCTTTCACCAAATTTACCTTAGCAGTATCACTCGAAGCTTCAGTGATATATGGCAGTGTGCATGTACTTGAATGGTTCAGACAAGAGTATTCTATCAATGTAGTCTCATTTAGTAAAGGTATACTACCCTTTCATGCCACAAAATACAACAATTTTTATTGCTTAAAGCATTTATTAAACAATTATTCATTTGATATTAATGCCACTGATCCTTTTGATAATACTCAATCTACACTCCTTCACATAGCATGTCAGGAAGGACATGTTGCTATAGTTCTCTACCTCACTAGTTTGCCTAAGTGTAACGTATCAGCTAAAACTTCAAATGGATCAACAGTTCTTCATTTATCATGTAAAAGTCGTTCTCTTCCTATACTCAAACATCTAGTGGAGGAGCATCAGTTGGATCTCACTATTAGAGATGACAATGGAATGGCTCCAGTTCATGTAGCTTGTGAAGAAGGATCATTGAGTATAGTCAAGTACATTATAGACCATTCACCATTATCTCTTGATATGACCGACTCTTTTGGACGTACTCCACTACTTATTGCAGCTTTCTCTAAAAACCTTCCCATCATTCGTTACCTCAACAGTAAAAACTGCAACATTTCTATACTGGACGATAAAGGGTTTAACGTAATACACATATCGGCAAAGAGAGGGTCTTTGGATATATTGAGGGGTTTAGTTGATGGCCATTACTGTAATCCTGATATCAGTGATGCTTCTGGTCGTACTCCACT